TCTTCAGGTAGTTCAGACATAAACCACGGGAGGTTATTGTGGAATACTACCTATACACTGGACAACCATGTTCGAGATATATTTTTCAGGTAGTTCAGACATAAACCACGGGAGGTTATTGTGGAATACTACCTATACACTGGACAACCATGTTTGAGATATCTTCTTCAGGTAGTTCAGACATAAACCACGGGAGGTTATTGTGGAATACTACCTATACACTGGACAACCATGTTCGAGATATATTTTTCAGGTAGTTCAGACATAAACCACGGGAGGTTATTGTGGAATACTACCTATACACTGGACAACCATGTTTGAGATATCTTCTTCAGGTAGTTCAGACATAAACCACGGGAGGTTATTGTGGAATACTACCTATACACTGGACAACCATGTTTGAGATATCTTTTTCAGGTAGTTCAGACATAAACCACGGGAGGTTATTGTGGAATACTACCTATACACTGGACAACCATGTTTGAGATATCTTTTTCAGGTAGTTCAGACATAAACCACGGGAGGTTATTGTGGAATACTACCTATACACTGGACAACCATGTTTGAGATATCTTTTTCAGGTAGTTCAGACATAAACCACGGGAGGTTATTGTGGAATACTACCTATACACTGGACAACCATGTTTGAGATATCTTCTTCAGGTAGTTCAGACATAAACCACGGGAGGTTATTGTGGAATACTACCTATACACTGGACAACCATGTTCGAGATATATTTTTCAGGTAGTTCAGACATAAACCACGGGAGGTTATTGTGGAATACTACCTATACACTGGACAACCATGTTTGAGATATCTTTTTCAGGTAGTTCAGACATAAACCACGGGAGGTTATTGTGGAATACTACCTATACACTGGACAACCATGTTTGAGATATCTTTTTCAGGTAGTTCAGACATAAACCACGGGAGGTTATTGTGGAATACTACCTATACACTGGACAACCATGTTTGAGATATCTTCTCCAGGTAGTTCAGACATAAACCACGGGAGCTTATTGTGGAATACTACCTATACACTGGACAACCATGTTTGTGATATCTTTTTCAGGTAGTTCATGTGTGCAGGCACAAACCATGACAGATAAAATACTTAAGGATATTGTAGATAGAAATCATCGAGTGGAAATTTATATACATTATTAGACCTAACCATGCAGGAACAGCTGCGAAAAATGCAACTACAGGTCCCTGGCAAGAATCGAACCTGCATGCGGCCCAAAATCTCAGCGATATTGTAGAATACTACCTACACTGGACCGCGTATGGCATAGTATAATAAGGTATGTTAAAGTCCTACCTGAGCAACGTTCGCATTCTGACAATTGAGGCACCTAAAGAAAAGGAGGATTATTGTTAATTTTCTAACAACAAATACAAAACAGTGTTACCACTGTATAAAAAACCCTGGCGCGCCCGGAGAAAACCTGTTCGGTACATAATAGAGACAACCTGTTCGGTACATAATAGAGACAACCCATGCTTGGAAATAACGCATATTTTGCAATGGGAATACGGGAACAAAGCCGAAAAAAAATATTGCATTGTATTCATCACCATAACATAAATTGCTTAAGAGGCAATTTTTTTCAATGTCACACATTTTGCGATGAAAAGTGTTCAAGAGTACCTAAAACTTGGCGTCCTCTCAAAATTACTTTGTTTAATGAACTTCCCCGCATATTTTACTATATCGGTAACGATATGCATGCTTAACGATACGTTGCAAATCGGTATTTGTTTTTATAACTTATTGAGTTTTGCATTATTCCTATTCAAATCCGAACGTGTAAAAGTACAAATACGGATTGCCCGAGTAAAAGAACACTTAATAGAGAGTTTTAGATTGACGTTCGTCATTATTACGACAAACCGCAAACCGGTAGTCGGCGTACCCGTTACAAGTTTGCAGTTCGGATTTTGAAGACGATTTAGGTTTTAACTTCCAAAATGTGAACTTAATCGGTGGGCAATAGCATCCCAATCCATTGGCTTTTGTGGTAGGCAGCTTGCAACCGCACTAGCTAATGCAAGATCATGTTGTGTGCTTGGCTAACGAAAGGGTTTCGTGGTTATGAGATCTTTCCAAGTTCTGTATTAGACACAAACAGATTTTATATAAAATTCGCAACAAAATTAGCCTAAGAGTAAAACTTTCAATCTCAAAATTATGAGAAAAACAAATAACAGTGTAAATCAGCTATGCATTTGGGCTATGCTTTTGCCCGCCATTTTTTTTATTGACATCGACTGAATTCGACACAATATTTCAGTGGAAGACAATAGTTTCATATCCTTATTTTATGCAAGAAAGAAAGTCATAGTGATAATAAACATAAGTGCCATGTTTATACGCGAGAAAAAGAACAAAAAAATGGATGAAAACCTTGAGGGAAACTACCTACCTGAAAACAGCCTACCTCGCGTAGAAACGTCTACTTCGAAAGTGTAACCTGACGGCAAGATGGCTGTCACGTGATTTTTAGCCGTTTGCAGTTAGCGGGAAATACGAAAATACGTCAATCTAAAACTCTCTAATGAACGGAAAAGGTTGTCTAGCCAATATTTTTAAAAAAACTGCCCAAAAGTCTGCCGTACACGCGAGAGAAACGTGCCGAGCTAACCGCCTTGCGTGGCGTCTAGCTCAGTATGTTTTCCTCGTGAGGATTTAATAATTAATCTCTCGAGGCCTTGAGGAAAATATCTATCGTGTTTGGTATTTTTCACCTCGCGAGGAAAAAATCTCAACGTCTGCGGGTGTTGCGAGCTTAGTGTTGATCTGCTTGAATTAACTAGGCAATGAGAACCCAGTTTCTTCACGTGAGTTTGGTCTTCATGTACAAAAGTTACGCACTACCATCGCTATGGCAACAATGACGTTTCAAGACGGCGGAAGTTTTGCCTTCAAATTAATTTAACTCAAAAACAAGTATAGTTTTCCCAACGTGTGCGGTGAAAATGCATAGCTGAGCTAACCGTCACTGCAGTGCAGCAGGCTCTCTTACCATTTCATAATATTCAAATTTCCTATCCACCGATACGAGGCGATCTTTTTTAGTGCAGTAGTTCAACTGACAAACATACAATCTTTGCGACTCCTCCTTCTCTCCGTAGTTGAATGACTGGCAACTAAGGTTCAGACACCATTGACCACATTCAATCAAATGTAAGACAATCTTCTCAGATATTAAACAGTCGCCGAGGCGTTCACCTGTGAATATATAGAGAACTATTTAAAAAAGCTCCACAATATTATTACACTGAAATCAATAGGATCGCTATAACCATGCTCCATAGTCTTCTACAATAAGCTGCCGTGTTTTGTGTCGGAACTACCTGAAATTAAAATAATATCGCAAACGTGGTCGTCCAGTGTATATAGTATTCTACATTACTATTTTTGCACAAGTGAACATAACAAATCCTACAAGTTGATTGGTCAAATTTGACGTATTAAGCTGTTATATTCACCTACAGGTGAATATAACAAAACCGAAATTTTCAAAATGGCGGACGTTATACTGGACGTTGTGGACGTTATACTGATAAAAAAATAAGCGAAATTAAAATAAATCGAGTCCCAAAAATACTAAAACAATTATTCGCCTCAGACTCGGTGATTATCGGGGAATATTCACCTCGACTTCGTCTCGGCGAATATTCCCCGATAATCACCTCGCCTTCGGCGAATAATTGTTAAATATTCAATAAGCTGTCGTGGTTTGTGTCTGAACTATATCTGAAAAAGATACCTCAAACGTGGGGGCCAGTGTAGGTAGTATTCTACAATAAACTGTTGTGGTTTGTGTCTGAACTACCTGTTAAAGATATCTCAAACGTGGAGGTCCAGTATATAGGTAGTATTCTACAATAAGCTGTCGTGATTTGTGTCTGGACTCCTGATATGAAAGATATCTCACAAACCACGGTAGCTTGTCAGAATAGAATACTACCTACACCACCGGACCTCCACATTTGAATAAAAATATACACATTGCCATATTGGACTTCCAAATTTGAGAGATATTATAATTAAATTTTAAAGATCCGTTTTTATTATACCTTTCACAGATTTTTTAAAAAATCCACTCGTAATCGACAACTGCTTTCCAGTTACTAACTGTACAGTTAGCGCCAAAAGCATCAAAGCGACGCTTGTTTTACTTGAAATATCAGGAGATAGCATTATTTTCTAGACAATCGCACATCTATTTTCTCATGTCTAAAAAGGCAAAATTATATATTAATACCAGAGCCGCAGTTTCCAATTATGCGTTAATTAGGGTTAGGCAATTTTAATTTAAAAGAAGATTGAAATTTTAATAAAAACGGCAAAGTCAAGTTGTAATAAAGTTCTAATATCATCCGTCATGGAGGCTCTTTTGTCTGAATTCAAGTCAACAGTACTGAGTACAGACTACAGTACAACTGAATTCAACAGTGCAGTTTTACTATAGAAATGATTATATTTCTTACCTCAGAATTTTGATTTGAAATCTTCCACTCAGACAGCGCATTAAAGTCTTGTATTGACGCAATGTATTGTGCGAATTAAATTTCACCTGGCGTTATACAGTATAGTCAACAGACGGATTGTCATGCAGACGCATATCTATCAAATATATTTACACAACAAAGCAAATCTTTAATATCGACAAATCGATCCTGTATTTGCTCTGGCAATATTTGCTCTCTTCACTGTAATGCACACTTAAAAATAATTTCCTGTGTCACGATCCATGCAGTGATCGGAAGTTTCAATGTAGTTTCATTGTCCCGAACATCCCACTATACTACTTGCATATTTTAGGTTTTATTAGCTAGAATTATGCAAATTTAACGTATATTGAATGTTATAACATACAATTATTTTCGGCTCGCCTTGCGCGTCCAAATGCCGCTTGGAAGATTTGAAATATTTATATCAAAGTTTCGACTATTTCAAAACCATCCTGAGACTCTGAGAGGAATGAAAAAACTACTGTAGTTTCATATCATTCTGACATTGCGCGAAACGACGAATTTTTCGTTGTTCTTTGCAGTGTCAGAATAAGTTTCAGCTATTAAATGGCTAAGAAATAATTTATTTCTTACAGCTATTGCAATTAAGGCTGTCACGAGCAATAATTAATGAATAATTATTGATGTACAAGGGTGCATAAAAAAATGTAACCCAACTTTAACAAGTTATCGTGTGTTAATTATTACGTTTATAGATTTCCTGTTTTCGCATTTATAGAGATCAGACTCTTAGCTGTCGAGTGACACCTGTATTGAATCATTGCGATAAAAAATGACCAAATAATATGATCTGACTTAAAGTGGTCGGTTGAAATTGCATTTCCCCACATTTAGGATTTAAAGTTCTTCCGATTTTTGAACATTTGCCCAAATGCTTGCTGCTCATTTGGGAAACGTATGGCATTACCATGGTGTTCAGTGTTAAACGTCGAGTCGGTTCCCTCAAAACTTTCGATTTTTTAAAACTTAGAATTTACCTGTGCAAAATTCCTACTGTGATCACAGAAACTTTGTTAGTGTAATAGGAAGCAAAAAACTTTTAAAATCTTACATTTTGTCAGATATATGTTGATCGAATTCCTTCAAAAATCCTTAAACTAACAAAATGCCTGTAATTATAAGGATTAAATTATTCAACGTGAGAATCTGTTAAAAATTCAAACTCCATATATTAATTAAGCATGCGGTATTTGCATGAAGATCGCCAAACTAGAGACAATTAATCCGACGACAAAAAATACCAGAAAACTTCGATCCAAGATGCGCGACGCCAGCTGCCATTCTTTTTTCTTCTCCGTGTTAATCTCCTGATCAGTAAGCATGCTCGTCATGTTGCTCACGTGTTCAACCAGGGTCTTTTGACGGTGTTCAAGTTTATCCACGAGTGTACTGCAATGTCACATCATTGAAATAATTATTAAGAAATATAAGGGACGGGTCATTACTTTGTAAAAGGTTGGGTAAATGAAAAATGAAACAATTCAAGGATTGGGTAATAAAACTGTATTGTTGTTTCTCAAATATTCTCATTCAAATATAGAAGACAGAAAGCAATGTCAACAGTCATATGCATATGTCAATACAATATGTAAATCAATCAATCAGAGTCACTATCTTGATCATTTTCCTATTTCTCAGAAGGCAAATGGTGTCTCCAAAGAAAGTACATGTAGTAATATTTCACCTGCAAATACAATCTTTATTTCCTTGAACTACCAGCTCCATATTCCCAGCATTCTCTGAATGCCCAGAAACAGTACTTGGTTTCTTGTGTGAACAACTGCTTGTTGACTTGTGCGACGACCATGGTTCACCTGACCCCTTACCACCCGCCATTTCACCTTCTTCTACTAAAACACAAATAGTAATAAGGCGGACACCTTGGGAGGTTCGAAATGTTCCTAATTATTTTACCAGTCCATGATGATAGCTAGGCTGTGCATGTACCATCACATTTTAGAACTGCAAGAGCTATCCATCATGAAGTGATTTATACCTGTTGTAAAGACATCGTCATTCTCTGCCCCTCCTGCAGTATCAAGATCATATGTTGAATCCCACTCAGGTGCCAACAAATATACGGACTCCATCAATTGACCATCGCGAGCTTTATTGCGAGAACCTATATATTAATATATAGAAATGTCAGTATATGTACTGTATATACCAAGCGAAGCTTGCCACACTCATCAGGTGAATTCATACGAAACAAATTTGTAGTAAAATATATGGTTCTTAGAGACGTATGGCGGGGGGTGGCACCAAAGAGAAAAGGGTTGGGTAAATACAATTTTGAGTGAGTAAAAGGTTGGGTAAATGAAAAACAAAACAACTCAAGAGTTGGGTAATAAAAATTTATTGTCATTTCCAAAGCATAACTCACTCAAATATTGAAGACTAAAAAACAATGTCAATATAGTCATATATGTCAATACAATATGTAGAAGTCAATACATTGTCTTGATCATTTTCTGAGACAAATGGTGTCTCCAAGGAAAGTACATGTGCAGATAACATGAAACTTTACACTACAGAAAATTGCATCAAATTCATTTCACAGAAGTGGACATGTGTGACAACTGAGTTGATATCCTTTTTTAACGTTGGGTAAAAAGTTGAGGTTGGGTAAAAACAAAGACTTTATAACGGTTGGATCAGCCAAATTTTCACCAAGAAAACATTTCTCTTCGACAAAATCGAATTAATGACATTTACATATAATAAATATAGTACCTGGCGTTTTACGAGTTTTGAAAAGTTCTAAAAACTTAGCCGCTTTTTCCTCGTTATCTTCCCTGACTTTCTTCACATCTGACGAGGTGAACGTCAACTTTGCGAGCCAGTCAAGGACAACTGTCTGAATCCACGATGGCATTTTGTCAAAACCTGAGTGTCGACAGTACAGCCTTAGGACGAAACACGAAGCGACCAGCGCAAGACCAACCTATAATGAAAACTTTATAAATTAAAATAACTTTTTTACTTTTAGTATAGGTAATTTACAAATGGCTACACAACGTACTAATTTAGATATTCATTTTAATAGATTGCGCCTCTTTCGCATCCCGAGAAAGGCTGTTCCAAAGTTTTGCGCCACTGTATTTGAAGCTTCTTTTGAGGAACTTCCTTCTCGGTTTTGGAAGAGCCATATCAGTATTATGAACAAGCTTTCGTTGGTAGGGACGCAACTACCTGAAAAATATAAGGAGAATTTCGACGTTTCGAGCGAAGTCCCTTCGTCTGGAGTTACTAGCACGAAGGGCCTTCGCTCGAAACGTCGAAATTCTCCTTATATTTTTCAGGTAGTTGCATCCCTATCAACGAAAGTTTGTTCATATTATTGGCACTACCTACACTGGCACAGACAGTTCAAGATTATATCAGTATTACTGTTTCTAAGATTATAATTAGTCTGCAATGAACCACTCCTAATCAGTGACTCTTTCAAATTGACCACTTGCGTAATAGACTAAATTTTGATCTCAACAAAAATTTCATCACAGCTTGAAAGAGCATGACAAAATTAGTAATATTCCAAAGTTTCGTTGCGAAACCCCCCAAACACTTCGAGGCTGTCAATTTCCCGTTTGTAATCTAAAATGACTGAAAATTGCAAACTTCGCAAGGCTATATTTTCCGCATTTTACAACATTTCGCAACGAAACTTTGGAATATTACTAATTTTGTGATGCTCTTTCAAGCTGTGATGAAATTTTTGACTACACTTGTTTACATCAAAATTTAGTCTATTACGCAAATGGTCAATTAGGGGCAGTGTAATCATTTAAAATGTTGCAGAGAAGGTAGGTGGGGTGCGTTGGTGGTCGAAGGCTGTAACGTCTTGCTGGCAAGATGTATTGCCATGGCAATAGATTAGCAACAGATTAGCAATAGAGCAGCAATTTTACCAGCAACCCGCAAAATAACAGCAAGGAGTTCGTCATGATAATTCTGCCAAGGCATCCCTCTGGCACCTGTCACACTGACGAGTCAGTGGAAAAAATACAATTTATAATGGTCTATACATGATCCCTGGGCGCTTGTGACGTCATGCCTCCCCCGCACTCCAGCGCAAATTAGCATGCATGCATAACACATATGCCGCTAAACTTGCTTGAATCTATTTAGCAGTAGGTTTTGTCCACTCCTTGTATCGAACGGGAAAATATACCAAAAGAGGACCAACCAATCAGTTATTACAATAAATTACTTCTAGACCCTAACCTCGCACATGAGGCCAGCACAGTAGATACTTATCATCGGCGTCACTTCGGAATTCGGCGGCAAGATCTCGGCGACGAGCAGCAGGAAGACGACCATGGCGAGAAAATTTGTGATAATTAACGAGATTCTCTCCCCACAATCAGATGGAAGGAAAAACGCCACGAGGGTTAGGGCTGTAATATAAGGAAAAAATTCCGATCAATTAGGGGCGGACCATTAGAAAAGTCATGGGGACCTTTTACAACTTGTACGAATATTTTTTCAAATTTTTTTTTTGCTTGTGTCGATTATTTTTTTTAAATATAACCCCTTGCTCGATTTTTTTTTTATTTCAACTTATAATTTTCCCTATTGAAAAGTTACTGCACGAATTTTTTTTGAAACTTTTTTGGTACACGAATTTTTTTCTTTCTGTTTCCCCGGCTCGATTTTTATTTTTGCTTCCCCCCCCCACCCCCATCACTTTTATAATGGTCCGCCCCTTACTGAAGTCACGTTATTTATACTGGACAGCTTCATCAGTCTTCCTTACACAGGATAGCTCTGTCAGTTCTAAACTGTTTTTCCTTGAGGTGAAAGAAAATATGTTGATTCAGTGTCACTAATATGTTGATCCCTTGCTCAAATTTACCCGGTTAACTCGAACTGTATTTTTGAGACGTGGATCAGCAAACCTCAAAATGTCAGAACATAGCACAATGACAAGTCGGAAGCTTGGAATTCCATTCAGACAACAACAATTAAATCGGTATATAATATATTCAATTAGTATTTTGCACAAGTGAATATAACAAATCCTACAAGTTGATTGGTCAAATTTGACGTATTAAGCTGTTTTAGTATAATTACATAGGAGATTATTGAAAATTCTCCACGCTGATTGGTTGCCGTTGAGGTGATTATAACGCGTTAATCACCTAAGCGATTCTCAAAATGGCGGACGAAGCCGTTTTGCCAATAAAATGACGAAGAAATGTGTATTTTTTATTTTTTTCCACATAATCACCTATGAAATTATACTAAAACAATTATTCACCTCAGGCTCGGTGATTATCGTGAATAGAAACCTCGACTTCGTCTTCGGCGAATAATTGTTAAATGTAATACAAGTCGATTAAGAGATTTCCATTTCTGGAAATGAAGATTAAATTCTCAGAATTTTGTAAAATGCTAAGGGGAATAAACAATTCCCATTACAGACTAATTTTAAAACTAGGCAAGGAGATGCAAATATATCACCACAGCTAGAAAGAGCATACTAAACTGAGTAAAATGGCAAAATGTTGTAAACTGCGGAAAATATAGTCTTGCAAAATTTACAAATTTTGTATACTTTTGTATTGCGTACGGAAATTGCTACCATGCATTTTCAGCCCAGATTTTACAAAATTTGCGAACTTTGCAAAGCTATATTTTTCGCATTTTACAACATTTCGCAACCAAACTTTGCAATTTTACTAATTTTATCATGCTCTTACCGGGAATATACTTCTTTTTGCCAAGATAAAAAATAGTCTAATGGGAATTGTCTATTAAAATAGCGAGGGCTGACCAATCTTCATTACCACTGAGTGCTAAGTCGAGCCACAGAATAGTAATCATACAAAGGTTTCACTTCGCGAGAAAAACGTAAAAAGGTAGTTTTTACTGCACATATCTGGCGACCGTGTTCTTAGGAAGTGCCCTAAAGAGAAGCATTCACCCTCCTGGAACATTAAATTTCAATACGTTTTCAGGGGGGTGACAGCCTCTCTTTAGAGGCACTTTGTAATTGCCGCCTGCTGTAAAGGTCAATCTCAAGGTCTGTAGTGATGATTTTACCTGTTCGTCAAATGGAAAGTACCGTACGTTCAGCTTACACGAAGTTTTCACGACACCTGGCGCCATCCATGAGCACTGACCGTTACTTTTGATTGTAACTGGAGTCTTCCATTGGTCCAAAGCACTTTTTGAACCTCCTTCTGCACTGTAGAGAAAGGATAGACAGTTATGTAGGGATTTGAACTAATAATGAATGTCTGTAGTTTAACCACATAGATCTTATCAAGCAGTGCTACGAACAAAAATTGTTGATGGCTTGTAGGCAGACTTGCTGCAAGATGTGAGATATTTATGCGTGTGGTTACCGTTACGTAAAAAAGTTACGAATACTTGTAATTTCGTAACTTAGTTTAGCTATAAGATTTCCTAGTAGACTTGCCATATAAGATTTCCTAGTAGACTTGCCACAAGTCGACCTCGAACGAAACGCGATCTAATTTCCTAGCTGCTCTAGTAACACTGGGCTTATAAGCAACGGTCTTACTGGACGTCTAGAGAGAACAGTTTAGAACTGATAGAGCTACCCAGTATAAATAAAGTTAGTCTAGTTTTGGTTTCCTCTGTAGTAATACAGGATCGATAAGAGATAACCTTTACTGGACCTTCACTGAGAACAGTTTAGAACTGATAGAGCTATCCAGTTAAATAAACTTAGTCTAGATTTGGTTTCCTCCTGTAGTATTACAGGATCAATAAGAGATGGCTCTTACTGCATGAACTTCTAGAGAGGAAAGTTTAGAACTAGTATAGAGCTAGCCAGTTAAGGTTAGCCTAGTTTTGTTCCTTCCTGTAGTAATACAGGATCAATAAGGGATGGCCATTACTGGATCTCTAGGTGGACTAGAGAGAACAGTTCAGAAATGGTACAGCCGTCCAGTTAAATAAAGTTAGTCTAGTTTTTGTTTCCTTTTGTAGTAATATTAACAGGATTAATAAGAGATGGCCTTTACTGGACCTCTAGAGAGAACAGTTTAGAACTGATAGAGCTATCCCGTTAACTAAAGTTAGCTTAGTTTTGGTATCCTCCTGTAGTGATACAGGCAATAAGAGATGGCCTTTACTGGACCTCTAAAGAGAACAGTTTAGAACTATCCCGTGAAATAAAGTTAGCCAAGTTTTGGTATCCTCCTATAGTGATACAGGATCAATAAGAGATGGCCTTTACTGGACCTCCAGAGAGAACAGTTTAGAACTGATAGAACTATCCCATTAAATAAAGTTAGCCTAGTTTTGGTATCCTCCTGTAGTGATACAGGATCAATAAGAGATGGCCTTTACTGGACCTCTATATATAGCAACGTGCATGCATAAAACAATTTCACTACTATATATCAAACATCTTGAATATACAGAATCACGCATGAAGCTGTGACATGAAATTTTGCAGTGAAATTCTTTTCGCCGCAGCATTTTTAATGCCACACAAAATGATATCAATGGACAAGAAAACGTCTTTCCATGCACCTTGGAATTTACGGTGAAGATTTACTACGTTTTGTTCCATTCTCCTATATTTTTCGCATTCAAGTATAGGCTATATATATACTAATATAGCTATTGTCGTATTGATTGAAATACAAAGTGTAGTTTCATTGTCTTTTAAGGATAATAATATTTGAGGAACATGTTCTTCCTTTTTGTTTCAAGTAATTTACTTTCGTAATCTCTATATTAAGAAATTTGCGTCACAAAAAACTACTGCATGCATGCATAATTGAAATTTGTGACGCGTATTTCACAGTCCAATGTTTTAAATCTTCCTGGAAAATGAAACGACCAACAATTTTCATTCCATTGTGGAGTGGCTCGGTTGTATTCTTACCAAAATTATTTTAAATTTAGTGATTTGTCATAATTTTCAACAAGGTTGAAGACGCTACATCGACACAATTGCATGCAATTGCATCAACTGAAAACACGCATGCAATTGCGTGATCGTGAGTTAAGGCCGTAGTTACTAAAACATGGAACGACCCACAACGACCGCACAACGACCCACAACGACCGCACTACGACCCACAACGTTGTCGTTGTGGATCGTAGTGGGGTCCTGTGGGTCGTTGTGGGTCAGTTGTGGGGTCGTAGTGGGTCGTTGTGGCTCGTTCCATGTTTTATATTTGTAACTACGGAGTTAAGGCACAGATGAGGTAATTGCAGATGAGGTAATTGTATTAATTCACTATTTTATTAAATTTTGATAATGCAGAGGAATAAAACTATACATATTATAGAAGTATTCATTTTTTTTTTATGCGAGAGTTATGTTTTGAGGAATTTATATCATTCGCTGTTTTGTTATTTATACATGAGCATCTGAAATTCCCAGCAAGTGTATTTCACGATTTTAATAAGGAGTAGATAGGGAAAAAAACAAACTTTTGCTAAATAAAATGTTATGTTAGCACTTTTAATAAAAACAAATCAATAAAAGTGATCGCTTACTGTTACTCTTGAAGAATTAATTCCAAAAATAACCGTCGGTAGCGTAGATTTAAAAAAAAACAATTTTTCGTCTTTCGAACGGCGTTTTCCTATCACTTTCCTTATTAAATTTCAGAACGACACTTGCCAGCGCTCGCCGGAAGTGAGAATTCCGTGTGACACAAAACAATCAGCAATTTGACGGGAGATTCATATCTGTACTTACCTCATCTGTGGTTAAGGTACGTTTACACGCTGCGATTAGTCGGGCCAATTTGTATAGGAAATTACACGGTTCGAGAAGTGTTAATGAAAAGTCGCACGCGTGTTTGGCGAAATATTTACAATTCGAGAACGAAGTGTAATTTCCTATGATTATCATTTTATAGTCAATTTTACACGAGCTATCAAAGATCACAATCTTAATGTGGTCAAGCGAGCACAGCAATACGCGCCTTTGTCAATTTTGAGAGTAATTTCTGACATTAATTTTCAATCCATACCTGCAGTGAAAAAATGTGAATGCTCTTTATTTCTTCTTTAATACTTTATCTTTAATATTTAAATAGACTTGAAAAGCTCATTGTCATTGCAAAATATGAGCTCAGAAAATATAAATTTTCAAGTTGTTTATTTAGATTTCAAAAACTCATTAATAATTCATGAGGAAAACACAAAGAGAAATCATAAGCGTGGCGTGTCTTTATATGTGATAAAACACGCTTCAAATTTCAACTTGTATTTTCTCAGCTAATACAAAGTTATTTTGGAAAATTATTTCGCCAATGCCGTGATCTAACTGAGACGTTTTTGAAGCTGTTTAATAAACTCGTAGTTCGTGTTTTATCACATATAAAACACTCCGCTACGCGTCGTGTTTTATATGTGATAAAACACTCCTACTCGTTTATTAAACAGTACTTTAAGATTTTGTGTTTAATGCACGCGGGCTCGTATTCGTGCATATACATATACAACATACATATACATATTATATATATACATATATGCATAAGTATATATTTAAAATACTCATTTAAAATTCATAAACCTTGTGGCAAATCATGTCAGCCATAACATGTCACGTGGAGTGACTTTATATCTGATAAAATTCATCTTCATTAGTATTCTTTATCCCCGAGCCGACGGCGCGAAGCGCCGTGCGAGGGTACTAATCCCC